TCTGTGCATATTCTGCTTCTACCATTTCCTTCCCTACCACTTTTCTGATTTGATTTCCTGTTAACTTTTCAGTCCTGTTTGTTCCCTTTGGCAATCCTACCCCATACACATCCTTCCTGCCTGTCTTAATTTTTTCTGCAGATTTCATAGCTCAGGTTCCTGTTCCTTTTCTTAATCCTAAACCCTAAATAATTTTTTCAGCCAAAAGTAATCTTTCAGCTTTTTGTCCTGATATCCATTCCCTGCCAGTTTAAATTCCCAGCTCTTCATAGTTTTCTTTCTATAGCCTATTTCCTTTTGTGTGGTGTTTGGGACAATTTCTCTCTTGATTTGATTTGGGCAGCTTTTTCCTTTTTGTGGCAGGGTATTGGCGAAGTCACTGAGAGCCTGGAGGGATGGCTGCCTTCTCAAAAGTGGTCTGGTTTAGTCTGATAACCTCCATTGTGTTTTACCTCCTGACATGTGAAGATTTTTAGATTGGACCAGTGATGCCAAGAAAACTAGTAACCAATGAGCCTAAGGAGGATTAGTTTTTGTCAGTATGATAAACAGAAGGGTTCTGAAGAGGCACATGGCTTAGATTTCTGTGGTAAGAAAAGTCTTTTGCACAAACTCTGTGTTATTAAAACCATAGTGGGAAAGTCAAACCTCTTAATATAAATGTCTGAATATTTTAGAATTGTCTCCCAAGAATTTACGTGGTCCTTCGCATTTCTAATGTCAGTGGAAACCCCTCAGGAAAATGACATTTTCATAACTTCTTCAGTAGTGAGGATCCTTATTTGCTACATTAAACATTTACAGCCCAATGTCTAATCGTCCCAGTCCCCTGAGGTATGTCAGACTCGGAATGAGTTTTCCTGGCATTCAAATCTACCTTAATGATCTGTCTGGAGGCTGTTTTGTTTGGGATTTGAGTGGGTTAATCATGGTGTTTAAATCGCAAATTGAATCCTTTCATAACAATAAATGGAGAAGTTAATTGAATTTTATTTTTTCTTCATGCTGTCACTCAGTATATTCAGGATTCTTCCATTTGTTTTCTCAGTAGTATTAAGGAGCTCACTAGCTTTAGGTATTCAGCATAATGAGCAATTAATAGGTGGAAGATTTCGTCTTTGTTTATAAATTCCATAGCTAATTTAATGAGAATTTAGGAAATCACTACTAATCTTGCAGTTAATTAGAGCATCATAATATCCATACTGCTGCACCTACCCCACCCTCCTGCTCATACTCAATTTGGTTAGTGTTGTTAGGAACACAAAGCTTTCTGCAGTACTGGTTCAGAGTATGAAGCAACTGTCTGCCTGTCTCATCTCATGGGGTTCTTGTGCTGCTTCTCATCACTGCAGCATTAGATGTATCCACAGCCCCCTGGACAAAGTCCCTTTTACCATTCAGGGAGCACAAGGAAACTGGGAGCTGGATGCAAGGGGCTAGAAAAACAGGCGCCTTGGGGAGGTGGGGGGGGAGAAATCCTGACATTTGAATACTGTGGTTTGACTCATGATCTCAGACTGTCCCTTATTTTTGGTGTATTCCCATGTGTGAATATGCCCATATATTCACAGGAGCAGACAGTGTGTGGGTGTATATGACAGTTGCTCTGCAGTGCCTGTGCTCCAAATGCAAGACCTTGTCCTCTTATCTCTCGTGGCGTATCTAGTCGTCACTGTGTCCCACAACACTGTCCTGTACCGTCCACATCCTCATCCATACACGGCTATTCAGAAAAGGTAGAAGCCCCTTTATTTCTGAATGGAAATGTCCACAATGACATCGAATGCCATGCATATTATTTTTCTGCCTTTAACTGACTCATCACAACTTGCCCCTGTTGTACATCATTGCCCTGTATTTAGAATAAGCAACAATTCCCTAGTTTCAATCCCGTAATCAATCATTAAGGGTTTCCTTTTGTCTTCACACAACAGCTATTGTAAAGCACTTCAAAAATCTTGGCTGGGTGGTGCATAGTGCTAACTCACTGTGGTTTATGACAAAAATGAGGGCTAGGAACGTTTTCCTTGCTGAAAACCAAATGGATCCTACAAAAAACCAAACTGACTAAAACCACACAACATACAACATACAAAAACTCAAAAAAAAAAAACTTTGCAATTTTAGCATATCCTGTAGTGTTATCCAGTTATGACTTAAAAGGTTTTTTAAATGAACATGAGCCATATGGAAGGGGAACCATTTGAGACCCACTTCATGCACCTTATCCTGTAGCTAGTCATTGACTCAAAAAGCCATAGGTCATGTTAATTCAGGATTTTCAGGCAGCAAACACTGCACATTTGTTTTTAAGAATTGTGCTTTGACCTCCAAGAATTGATGGGGCATAATTTATTTAAATTTGTGAATCATGACTTTTTGTCTTCATGTGTTAGATGAGGCCCAATAAGCTATCTGTGGCATATTAGTGTTTTGTTTTCAGACATTATTCAGAATTACAAACATCTGTAAGATCCTTTGCCTTTGGACTGTCTGGAAAGGTGATAGTTACAGATTTCAGTTCTGTTAGCTGTGTTGTTTGGGCAGGTCGAAGCTCTGCTCCCCATTAAGTGCATATACTCCTTCATGAATGATGGAATTCAATGGTAAAGAGTCAAAATCTGTGACGACAGTTTGAGTGGTGTAGATCCCTGGTGCTCTCTAGCTACTGGAAATGCAGTTGTGTCTACTGCAATTCACTCTTTAGTGCTATAAATGCTTCTTTCAGTAAGGGCTGTGGAGGGATCTTCTGAATTGAAACTAGATAACCATTAAGTACTCCCTACAAAGAGTTTAAGGGTTTCCTGTCAGAGCAGGTTAAACAGTAATAAACATTAAGCAAAGAGAATCAGTCTGTAACCCAGAGCATTGTAGGAAGCCTATAAAGCAAACCATGCAATTGACTCTTTATCCTGGTTTTGGCTGGGTCAAAGTTATATTTTCTCCTAGTAGCTGGTAGAATGCTCTCTTTTGGATTTGGGATGAGAATAATGTGATAACACACTGATGTTTTGGTTGTTGCAAACCAGTGCTTGTACCAAGTCGAGGTTCCCATGCTCTGCCAGGGAGGAAGTGCACGAGAATCCAGGAGGGAGCATAGCCAGGACAGCTGACCCAAAGTGGCCGAAGGGATATTCCATACCATATGATGTCATGCTCAGTATGTAAATTAGGGAGAGTTGGCCAGGGGGCAGGGTGGGTGGTGAGCAGTTGCATCACTTGTTTTTCCTGGGTTTTAGTTCTCTCTCTCTCTTTTTCTGTGGTGTGTTGTTTGTGGGTGTGTGTTTGTTTGTTTTTTAATATATATATAACCACTAAACTGTTCTTATCTCAACCCACAAGCTTTCTTACTTTTATTATTCTGATTCTCTCCCCATCCCACAGTGGGGAGGAGGGTGAGTGAGCAGCTGTGTGGTGCTGCGTTACTGTCTGGAGTTAAGCCATGGTACCCTTGTTCCACTCACTTGTCTCTCAGTCTCTGTTCTGTAATTAAAAACCTGAGAGGTTGCAAGGAGCACTGTTTCCTCCTGGCCTTTCTGAAAATGAGCAGGTGGATCAGATGTCAGTGTTGCTTTCGGAGAACTCTTCCAATATTCCCTAGTCTTCACTTCTTCATTTTCTTGTTTTTCCCTCCAGCTCTTTTTATTCCTGCTTCTGGTTTTCCCAGGTTCATAATTGTTCTGCTGTTCAAATTGTTTTCTGAACCCAGTGCCGGCAGCATTGTTGATGTGTCTCCAGAGTCCTGCGCTGGCCTCTGAGGCCCATAATGACCTCAACTGTCGTTGGTACTCCTCTACTCTCATCTCTGAGGCCACTAAGCTTCAATTTGTGCTTCTAGCCCTGGTGGGCCACACAATTCACCATTATGTTTTAGCACTGTCTTATTCTCTTATCAGAATGAAGAGCTTTCAGTACATAAACACCTCTTTCTCTTAATCAGCTTCTGAATGGGAGGAGGGGCTGCAGCACAGTTGTTTTTTCTGTTTATCTCAGAACTGTCAGTGACTTTATGGTGCTTCTTGTTATCCAGTTACCAAAATTCTTTATGAATAGGTACTGTGCTCTCTTTCTGCAATAATTCATATGAGGATACAAATCTTCTTTCTACTACTTTTTTGGGCCATTGTTTGATTAAAGACCATCCAGGGAGAAAGAAGAACTTCATTCAGTGAATCAGTTTTAGAAAATCAGGGACTCAAGATTTTTCACTTGTTTTCTTTTTATTTAATGAGATCTTAGTGGGTAGCTCTCTTGGTACAATCCTTGTGGACCCACCTGCACTTTTTTTTAATCTCTTTTGTTATTTTTGTGGGTTTATTTTGGGTTTTTTTGGCTGCAAGAACAGAATGGTTGTGGAAACCTAAATCTTCTGTTATTTAAAAATGCTGCCCTCAGCTGAGGGGAATGATCTGCAGTATTTTTACAAGTTCTCTTATTTTATTTTTGTCTGAGAATATATGGAGGCATGTCAATTCTGTGTGTAGATGGAATAATGTCTGTTTCAATTTGAAAGCAGACTTACATCAAAATAACACGGTGCTGGATAGTTTTCTCTAAAATTAGGCTATGACTTCAGGCTGTGAGTTTCATTACTTTAAATCACTTTCCTAGTTGGGTTTTTTTTTTTTAGAATTCTGAAAATGAAATATTCTTTTATTCAGTGTATAAGAACACCTCCCTAAACTCTTGTTCTGGGGTATGTTCCTTTCTTTGTATTTAATAATTGATGTTGACATCAGATGATGAAGTATGCAGTTTAACTGAATCTGTTTTAGCTTTAGATATGAAAGGCAGTTGAAAACCACAATCTTTGATAATTATAAATGAGTGAAACAACTGATGAATAATATGTTCCTGCTTTTAAATGGCTTTAAGGTTTAGATAGCAGAAAATTTTTCTGAGGACATTATTTAAAAAACAAACCCAAAACATATTACAAATCTTTTCAAGTTCAGGAGACTTCAGTTAGAGTTTTTTCTTTGTTTTTGATTTTCCAGCCATTCCCCTAGGAATTATAGTGGTACGAGGAGATTGTGACTTAGAGACCTGTCGTATGTACATTGAGCGTCTACAAGAGGTGAGGTTCTTGTGAATTCATACATGAATTTCATATATTAATCCATGTTATGTTTCTTTTAGTTCTGAGTGCAGAGATCTAATAGTTGAAACTTCCATATATTGAGTATTGCAGTTTGGCTACTGCTGAAAACAACTGATTGTTATGCAACAACTATGAGAGTTATTAAATGATAGTAAAAGCAGGAAAAAATATTCTCTAAACACAAAATGAAAAGTCATACTGACTCCTTTTAAATTATAACTAAATTGATGTGAATGGGTGTGTTTACTTCTCCTTGAATTGGAATGAAATATCAGAACTCTGCATACCTTGGTGAAATTACGCAAATTATTGATTAGAAAGTGTGTTATGTAAGGGTAAATATTGTGGTATTCGAGTGGGTCTAATTATGCAGATGTCATTCTCTATTATTGTTATGGAGTAATCTGAGACACCAATAAACACTACAAATATCAACTAGGTATTTCCAAATGTGTTGAAATATATGTTCATGCAGCTAATAATCTTGCTTTTATTGTCTTGAATACCTTGCCTCATGAGAGTTCATTCTACAACACAGCCTGGGAAATGGAGAGTCCAAATGCCCCGTTAACTGAATAATTTTAAGTGTTAATTGAAACTCTGCACTTGCAGACTGAATATGGGCCTTGGTATCTGACTGCAGGCTTTCACTTTTTTGCATTTCAGCCAGGATTTCCTTCATCAAATGCATTTCTGAACATTCAGACCTGAGGTGTGGCTATTATTATCAGAAATAAAACTATATTGTATGTTGATGCATATTTGAGGTACTCGGTAATGGAAAACTACATTGAAATAATAGGGATGATGGTCTCAGCAGATTACTAATGGGATCTCAGACTGAGCTCAGGCAAATTAACATGGCCCGTATTGGGTGGAGAGTAGTTGTACAGCCCTGGAGGAAGCACAGCTAGAAGGTGTGGTTGAATTACCCATAGCGGCTGTGGAAAAACCATGTTTTTTCAACCTTTGCAGGGATTTAGTAATTATTTTTGCTTGATTTGGCTCAGACCCGTATGCTGGGAATGGAGGTGCCAAGGCTTTCTGTGGTCTGCCACCTTGCATGCAACCTGGGGAGCTGTGGTCTGTAGGCTGGGCTTTTTGGTAGGCCATGTCATGAGATAAAACTATTTGACAAAATCTCTATTAAAATAAATTAGATTCCTGAATCCTGCTAGATACCAGGGTCATTCTGAGATCACCTCCCTGACATGAGGTTGTCTTAAAAGAGGGAGAGCTGCCAGTTGTTTCCTTCAGTGCACTTATCACTCATAAAAATTTAAAAAAAAAAATATTTTAGCATAATTTTTTTCATTTTATTGCTTATACTCTCAATTTAGATAATTTTTATGGAACAAATAGGTCTGTGATATGGGAATGATACAATAATATAATGTAATCTTTGTTTTAAATAACATTTTTTTTCACCAAATGCTTACAAATCTAAAATTTAAGTGAGCTTTCCGTGACTATTCTGTGTTTTTTATTTAATATACCTTAAACGAGTAGAAATACTTGCATAATTATTTGTGTTTGCCTAACCACTTCAGCTAGAACTGCAGACAGCTCTTGTTGCTTCAGTTTTTTTTTATCACCTGCATGTCTTTCATCCTCCTACTAGGACCTACAGTCTGCAACTTCTACTACACAGAGAGTTCATTACCAGGTAAGATAAGCTTCCCTTTCAGTATTAGAACAGAAGGAGGCTTAACAACATGGGCTGCACTCTTTGCGTTTCAACACAGGCTTTCTTTTTGTTAGATACCCGTATGTTAGATAAATTTCTGATTATCATTTACCCTCAGATGCTGAAGGTTCATTTTGCTCTCCCCTGAACAATCCTTTTCCTTGCAAACCATATGGAATCATCTCTAAAAATAGCACAGCATGATGATGTGAGTGGTATTGCAGTAGCAGTGCCTTGCTCATTGAAGTGAATGAATGTGTCCTATAGTACAAATGACAAAGGTAAAATTGTTTCTCTGCCTGAGAAACTGAACAATAACATGTTATATTGCATAGCTATAGTACTGAAGTCTATGACTGAGGAAAAAAAGTGCTAGGAGGCCTAACCTCTTAATAATTCTGTGCACCAGTCATCTACCTCTAGTTTAACACAATTTACAGAATAGTTTTTTAATCTGTCCTGGGCACAAACGTGTCTATTATATGTGACAAGCAGGTTCTAGTTTTAGGTGGCTACTTTCTAAAATTGGTCTCTCTGTGCATTTTACAACTTTACCGTGCAATTTATGCAATGCAGAACTTGGCTTTACAGTTGGAAGTATTTTTCAAGAATGCATATTTCTTTCACTAAATAAGTGCTTAAATTGGAACTAAACTGTCCCTACGGACTCCTGAGCTGATCTGACATTAATGCAGAGACTTGACACAAATCATGGTCAGTTAACATGGTGCCTAGGTCCACATGAAAGTTTGTATCATGTTGGGAGCCTTTTCCTAGATTTAACAAGTCTTGTTGCGGTCAGC